ACCAGAATCGAACCTGGGACCCTTCAGTCCGCAGGCTGACGCTCTATCCACTGAGCCAAACCGGTTAAGGCCATTGGTTGATTCTTTTATGTGCCTTGATGCGGGGTGGGATCAGGCATCCTTGGTGTTTCTGAATGAACTCTAATCAACTGAGCTGCCCCGCAGGGCCTTAAATTTTATTTTTTAATTACAGTTTATGTTCAATATTATTTCATATTGGCTTCAGGCATAGTGGTTAGACAACCAGCCTCCCCCCTCCCATATTTCAAGTACCCACCTGGCACCATACATAGTTATTACACTATTATTGACTATATTTCCTATGCTGTACTCTCTTATTTTTTAGAATCAAGTAACTTTTGTCCAGTTACTAATCATTGTTATGCTTATAATTGTTTGTTAAATCTAGGTAATTGCTCAGCCTGTCTCAGGTGTGAAGAAGGACTTGGTACTTGAATTACATAGTTTTTTATTTTTGTGTGGTCAGTTTTATCCATCTTTTTGTTACAGTTTCTGCTTTTGGCACCCCGCTTAGAGAGCCATAACAGTGATACTTACTGTTTAGTATTTTAAGGGTAAGGGCCTTATACACATTATTTTACCTAATATCAGCCTTATGATGAGGTACTGTTATCTGTATTCTACAGAAGGGAGGTTACAAATTAACTTAAAGTAATTTGCTTAAGGTCCCTCACTAGTAGATGTCAGGGTGAGCACTTAAACTTATATCTGCCGGACTCGAGAGGCTATGGTATTGTGCCACTGATACCATCTCAGGGTAATAATAATAATAATACAATTAATTAGCATTTTCTTCAAATACACTTACCATTTAAATTTTTTAAAATATATTTTTATTGACTTCAGAGAGGAAGGAAGAGGGAGAGAAAGCTAGAAACATCAATGATGAGAGAGAATCATTGATCAGCTGCCTCCTGCACACCCCACACTGGGGATTGAGCCTGCGATCCGGGCATGTGCCCAGTGGCAATGGAACGGTGACCTCCTGGTTCATAGTCGACCCCCAACCACTGAGTCATGCAGGCCAGGCAAATTTTAACATAAAGTTTTAAGTCTATAATTATTTTGCCTCATGCTTATCCAATAGTGAGAGATTTGTCCCAATACCATTTAACTGCTTCGTTGCCCACTAACTTAAATGCTACTATTAGCACATACCAAGTTCTTAAATTTACATTTCTTTTTCTGGTTGTCTTTTCTCTTTCTTTCTTTTCTTTTCTTTTTTTTTGTAAGAAAACATTTATTGGGTAAATTACAGAGGTAGAAAAAGTAGTTTCTGGAAGAAATGGGCTTAGGAAACAAGTTATAGCGGTAAGAAGGGCCCTTGAGCTTGGGAATGAGTAAGCTAATGGTAACATGCCTGGGGGGTGGGAGGGAAGGGGAAAGGAAAGGAGAGAGAGCCTTTTTCTGGTTCCTAACCTATTTCATTAAGTTGCTTGCCTTTGTTCATCGGTACTAAGCTTTTAATCACGATAGCTTTATAATGTGTTTTACTTTTATAGAAGTATAATGCGCCCATTCATTATTTTAAAATTTTTCTTGTTATTCTGGCAAATTTATTCTAACAAATGAACTGAGGGAAGTTAAAATCAAAGAAAAGACTGATGGAGCTTTGTAAGTTACTAATTTATGTCCAACAAAAATATAACTTTTTAGCATTATAGTCATCTTGATATTATGAGGGTAATAAATAATGTAAGATGCAGGCAGTACTGTTTTAATAGCAAATTAAAACACTGGAAAGTTTTATTTGTGGAAAGTGTCCTTCATAATTTTTACTTGATTAGTAAATTTTGGGTTTCTAGGGTTGTTCACTATGTACCCGCTTCTTAGAAGTAGAAATTTTGGCCCAGCTGGTGTGGTACAGTGGTTGAACGTTGACCTAAGAACCAGGAGTTCATAGTTCGATTCCTGATGAGGACATGTGCCCCGGTTGTGGGCTGGATCCCCTGCCAACCAATGATTCTCTCTCATCATTGATGTTTCTTTCTATCTCTCCCTCTCCCCTCCTCTCTGAAATAAAAAAAAAAAAGAAGTAGAAGTTTTGTTTATTTTTAACTTAAAAAGTGAAAACGGAACAGAATTAATATTTGTAGAGTTCCTACCATGCATCAGACCACATATTTTTATGTAGCATGTTCATTACTTATCTTGTGAGGTGGGTGGTACTATTTAAAAGTTATAGAATAAACAGAGGCCAATAGAAATGAACACATTTGTACCTAAATATGGTGGCCTTGAAACTTTTTATTGAAGGATAATATGTCTATAGTAAAGGTATAAGTTGATGTCATGTTGAGATTTGAATTAGGTTTAACTTTAAAGCTCCTTTTACATCTAATTACGGAAAATATTAGATCATGTTTACAACATATGTTTTGTATTATTTTGTTGAAATAAACCTTTTATCTTTTTTTAAATTGATAGGTATGCAAAAAGCGAAGGAGAGATGATGACAGATCTTCCAGTGAAACAATTACGAAATATTTATCACCAGTAGAGAAGACTGGAGACAGGGTTTTTTCTCCACCAAAATCCAGTAATATTCTGGATTATTTTAGAAAAACTTCACCCACAAATGAGAAGACTCAGTTAGCAGGAGAGTGCAAGATAAAATCATCTGCAGCATCACCTGCTGACATTGGCAAAGACTGTAAAATACCTTTGGAAATGTTCTCAAATATAGAGTTTAAGAAGAGAAGAAAGACAGTTAATTTATCTCACCAACTAAGTAATATTAAACCTGAAAATGAATCTCCAATTGAAATTAATAGTGATGATAGCAAAGAAGACTCTAGTTTAAATAATGATGTTGTGGAGAGTAGTACTTCTGTTTCACTCAAGGAACATGTAGAAATGCTTGCAGAAAGTATTCAAGATATCAAAAACCAGTCAAGCATTGTGGCCTCCAAGAAAAGTTCTAAGAAAGTAAAACCTAAACTAGGGACCACAGAAAATGATTGTAAAAATTTGAGAAAAAGGAAGCGCCAAGAGATAATAGATCTATCTGAAAGTTTACCCTTGGCAGAGGAGCTAAATCTCCTTAAAAAAGATGGTAAAGATAGTAAACAGATAATTCCTTCCCTAGTTAATGAAATGGAGAGTACTACAAATAATATAACTAAACCAGCCCAGTTAAATGATGGTACAATAACTGTCTCGTATGAAGAATTTTTAAAAAGTCACAAGGAAAATAAACTGGAACAGATCCCAGACTCTACAATGTCAATTTGTGTTCCTTCTAAAACTGTTGAAGGTAGAGTCACAAGTGGTTGCACAAGTGATACAGAAACCTGTGAAATTTCCCAGCAAGTACCCTTTAAGACAGTTACTGTTCTTGCACAAGTTCACCCTATCCCCCCAAAAAAGACAGGGAAAATACCCTCAATTTTCTTGAAACAAAAGCAGTTGGAAATGGAAAATAGTCTGTCTGATCCTGAGAATGAACAGACAATTCAGAAAAGAAAATCTAACGTTGTCATACGGGAGGAAGAACTAGAATTGGCAGTATTGGAAGCTGCAAGTTCTGAAGCTGTGAAACCAAAATGCACTCTAGAAGAAAGACAGCAATTTATGAAAGCATTTAGGCAGCCAGCATCAGATGCACTTAAAAATGGAGTCAAAAAGTCTTCTGATAAACAGAAAGAGCCTGATGAAAAATCTTTAAATGAGGAAGAAAGAGACAGTAATTCTAAAAAAATCATGGAAAATCCTAATATCCAAATGGTTTCAGATAATGGCAATTCACAGTCACACACTAATAAAGGAAGTTTTCCTAAGGGGAAATGTAAAAAACTAAAGAAAAAGGATAAGAAAATGTTAGATATTGGTGCTACTTCAGGTGAAAATAGGGAGGGAAATCCTCAAATGAAGGAAACAACTTTTTCCTTTAAAGGTAAACAAAGTAAAAATAGGCTTAGAATGAGTTTAAGACAAAAGAAAACAGGAGTTTTCAAAGACAGCCCGTTATTTAGTGCAAGTTTTATTTGTGAAGATACAGCAAATGATGACCCTCTAAAGATTTTTTCTCAGTATAAGAAGTCTTCAAGAAAAACTAGCACACCAGTTAAGGATAAGGAAATATATTCTAAAGCTGAAACTGAAGACAGCTTGGTAAATGTTTTTACACCCAAATCAACGAGGAGATCTGTAAGAGGTAGCAGGACACCTGCAACAATCATTGGAGGTACAGATTCTGGAGATGCACAAGATATATGTCCTGTGAAGGCTTCCACTCCAAGAGCATCCAACTTATCAGAAAAGCATACCTTATATACAGCGGAATTAATCACAGTATCCTCTGATTCAGAGAGTCCTATTAGGTAAGGCAAAGTTTTGTTTTTGTTCTAAAGTTTTAAGTATTTTGCATGTACTGTTAGCTGGGAAGGAAAATAAGCATTAGAGAGTAGTATTTTTTCATAGAACACAGCTGATTTATAAGGAAAATGAAAGAGGGTGTCAAAATGCTACTTTTCCACATTTAATAAAGTCAGGCATGATTTTAGAAGAATTCTAGATATATTTTAGATGAGCTCTATACTCTTATAACAGTTACTGAATGAAATAGTCTTCAAATATGAATTCGGTGCATTTAACAAACGAGACTAAAAATAAATCATAGAACTTTATTTCTTGGGTAAACAGGGCCATGCACTATGAGGTCTATACTTGAATACTGGTTTTGGCTAAGGTAAGAGTGATCTTAGGGGTTAACTTTCTGTAAAACTCATGACTTCTAAAATAAACAACTTATATTGCGAGTTTAACCTTGAGTTTGGCTTACTTTTGAATTAGTAATTTGAAACTAATGGAGTGTTTTTGTGTTTTTCTGTTTTAGAACTGTCCAGAAATTGGAGCCCTAGTTGGTTCTTTTCTGTATTGAAATTCTTACACATTGTAATCATGAAAATGTTTCTGAATTTTTTTTTTCCAGAATGAAATTCACCAGAATTAGTATTCCCAAAAAATCTAAGAAGAAATCTAAGAAAAGTTCTAAGAAATCTGAAGCAACTGGTGGAGATTTTACCTATCAAACTAGAAAGGTAATTGAAATATTAGGGATTCCTGTAAATGATATTCTATTTTCTTATAAGCAAAAATAACAACTACTACTATTAGAAGTAATACACTATAAGAAGATTCACACATTTCTTAGATTGATTATGTTAACTACAACCCTATGTTATTTTCCACAATTCCCCTAGTTTAGTGGTTCTCAACCTTCCTAATGCTGCGACGCTTTAATACAGTTCCTCATGTTGTGGTGACCCCCAATTTCATTGTTACAAATTGAACATAATTAAAGCATAGTGATTAATCACAAAAACAATATGTAATTATATATGTGTTTTCCGATGGTCTTAGGCGACCCCTGTGAAAGGGTCGTTCGACCCCCAAAGGGGTTGCGACCCACAGGTTGAGAACTGCTGCTCTAGTTAGTTATTAAGATATCAAGATAGTTAATTGTGAGATGAAAGCAATTGATAAGGGCAGTCTAATTTACTTTTTCTAGGTTTTGAGAGTTACATTCCAATTTTTCTCTAAGGTTACTTTTAGGTCATGATCGAATGTTTGGTTTACTAGTATTTCTGTAGATTAGAAATAAAGAGTACCATTTCTGGTACTATTGACATTTTGGGCTGGATAATTCTTTGGTGTGGGGGATTCTCCTGTGCATTATAGGATGTTTAGCAATAACCCAATTAACTGTAGGTTTATTCAACTTTTATTTTAGAAAGACCATGCCTTGTTTGTGTACTGCTTAGAATTATGATTCAGTAATAAAGTTTCCAACAAGACAAATCTCAAAATTTATTATATCCAAATTGGGGCCCTTATCTGAATTTACTTAGATCAGTTATTTTATCTCATACTGTTAATGTGTCAGTGATCCTCTTACCATACCGCCTTGCTTTTTGAAGCCTTAGCCAGGCTTGTTTACTAGCAATAGGCGAAAATCTTAGTCATTTTCTGGAAGAAATTTTTCATTTATGAGAATAAGAATAGACTGATTTTCCTAAGAGCTCCATATTCATAACAGCTCTTCCAACAGATATTTACAGAATGGCTTTCAGAATGGTTCTGGCTTCATTTTTTCATGCAATAAATATTTATTTAATGCAATGCTATATGCTAGGCATTGGGAGGACAGCTCCATAGAAGAATGCACATGGACTAGACTTTCATGGAGCTAAGGTCTTACGGCGAATTCAGGCACATAAACATGCAATTGAATACATGTGATAAGATTTATAATAAAGTAAATACTGAAAGCACATAAATGGGATGCCTACCTTCTAGGAACAATAAACAGGGACCTAAATAATAAAAATTGTCCTTTAAACATAGGGAATGGTGTGTGTAAAGGCCCTGGAGACAAGAGAGAACATTTATATTTTAGGGAGTGAGAAGTGGGGTCTGGACTATTCAGGAATTTGAACTCTATTCTGAGAGAAGTAGGGAGCCATTTTAAGTAAGGGGACTAACATGATGAGGAGTTTTAGAAAAATTACTCTGTAGTGTGGAGAATAATTAAAGTGGGAAGGTTTGAGGCTGGGAGACCATTTAAGAGGCCTTTGGAGTAATCCACATGAGATATATTGTGTTTTGAATGACAGTAGTGAAAAGTGGACAGTGGTTATTCAGGAGACTTGATGGACTGAATGTGAAAGAAAGGGAGAAGTGAAGCACGATAGTCAGGGTTCTGGCTTGGGCTTTTGAGCGGATGCTGTTGCATTCCACTGAGATAGGAAGAAAGCTCGGTGTGGGAGAAAGATGAGGAATTTGGTTTTGGAAGAAATGGATTCTAGGTAACTGTGGGATGTCCACGTGGAACCATTTATAATTACCAGTTGGATCCATGGTCCTAAATCTTTGCAGAGATTTGAACCATAGGGAAAGCTAAAGGAGTCATTAGCATATTGATGGTAAATGAAACTCTGAAAATGGATGAGATGAAACAGCAAACATTTATTTAAAAAACAAACTGCAGAAGTATATAAAATGTACAAGATCTCTTAGCACATCAATGACAGAACCAGGTCTGAAGACCAGAATTATTCTTATCTAGTGCTCTTTTCCACACCTATTACCTTTTCAATCTCTCGCCAAAGGATTCAGCCTAAAGGTATCTAAAATCAAAGAATAAACAGCAGTGTGGTGATTGCCAGAGGGAAGGGGGTAAGTGGAGAAGGGGTCCTAATATGTGGTGACAGGAGAAGATTTGACTTTGGGTGGTAGGCACACTGTGCAATATACAGATCTTATGACATAGAAACTCACACATGAAACCTGTATGTTCATGTTGACCAATGTCACCCCAATAAATAAAGTAAATTAAAAAAAGGACTGTATAAATACTGAAGTATCAGACTTCCTGATTAGATGGTTCTGTCATAAATAAAAATGAAGTTCAAATAAATGGATAAAATCAAAGAATAGATGGCATGAAGATGGTGGAGAAATAACCAACAATTCTAATCTATACTGCTAACATCTTTCTGGATGTTTTTCACAAATGTAACTATTTATCTGGATAAATTTAAAGTAAGAAATCATGGCAACCAAGTATAACTAGACATTTTAATTTAATTGCCTTGGCAACATTTGAATAACCATTTCTTTGTCTCTAATGTAATTTATGATTGTATTTTTTCTATTATATATATACTAGAGGCCCGGTGCACAAAAATTTGTGCCCTTGGGGGGGGGG